CTCCTCTGGACATGTCCACACCATTGTCCATCCTCTGGACATGTCCAAAGCACTGTCCCTCCTCTGGACATGTCCAAAGCAATTGGATTGTATTCCTGGATTATTGAGCATGGACTTTGTTGTTTTCCTTTGACCTTTGCTGACACCCTTTTGTCTCAAATCACTCCTGAAACTTTTCTCCATCACTCCATCCTGCCTGGACTCTCTTCTTCACCTCTTCACCACACTCCCCGTGTTCCTGGACAGTGGACCCCAAGTCCTTGAAGTCCTGCACCTTTGTGACCTCTGCTCCTTGTAGCCTCACTGTTCCACCTCCTCCCTCTCATTCACACACATGGACTCTGTCTTACTACGGCTGACTTTCATTCCTCTTCTTTCAAGTGCATACCTCCACCTCTCTAAGTTCTCTTCCACCTGTTCCCTGTTCTCACCACAGATCACATCATCTGCAAACATCATAGTCCACGGGGATTCCTGCCTGACCTCATCTGTTAGTCGGTCCATCACCAGAGCAAACAAGAAGGGGCTCAGAGCTGATCCTTGATGCACTCCCACCTCCATCTTGTAGATAAACTGTTTTTTGTCGCTGCTATTTGAGTCATGCACTGTCTGAAGAGTCAGGAGTGGACCCTCTCTCCACACCGTGCAGCCGATGGTCCGTTTAACAAATGACCAGAATCACAAAAATAAGTTTCAACATGATCTGAACTTCAGTTCTGCCTCCAGCTTAATTTGGACCAGTGTCAAGTCAGTGTGTATTATTTATACTCATCATGCTCGATAACTCTCCTGCTGATGCACTGTGCTGTGTGATATTAACTGTCCCATGTAATCACTCTTACTGTGACCAATCAGTGAGGAACAGAAAGAACTAGTTGTTTTTGATATCCACAAGGTTTGATTGATATGCTATTCATAAGATGCAGTTTATGTGATTTGGGGACTTATCTTCAAGCAGAGTCCTTGACTCAGATCCTTTAAGTCAAACTTCTACAAATCAAATCCCTCCTACAAGTCAATCCTCAGTTAATCACACCTTTTCATTTTCACTGTTCTCAGTCAGTGAGGTCAATAAACTGTTAAAGGTCTAGACTCTAAAAAATCTGCAGGTCCAGATGAACTTCCACCTTATTTCTTAAGGCTGGCTGCTCATATCATCACAGTCCCTGTGACCCACATCTTCAATCTCTCCATGAGACCAAACTCCATCCAGACACTTGAAAACAGCCTTTGTTCATCCTTTGCTGAAGGGAGGAGACCCCCCCTCACTGAACAACTATGGACCAATCTCTAAACTCTGCATTTTAGCCAAGGTTCTAGAAAAACTGATAAACTCTCAAATCAAAAATGACCTGGACTCATTTAACATCTTACCTCCACATCAATCTGGTTTCAGGAAACAACACAGCACAACCACTGCTTCACTGAAGGTTCTTAATGATGTTGTTGAAGCACTGGATGCTAAAGATTATTGTGCTGCACTTTTCTTAGACCTGTCTAAAGATTCTGACACTGTGGATCAGAACATCTTGTGTCATAAACTCTCTGAAACTGGTTTCTCAGAACACACTATTGGATGGTTCTCTAACTATCTCTCAGATTGGAGACAATGTTATTGTTATTTATTTATTTATTAACTTTTATTTAACCAGGCAAATTCCACTGAGATCACAGATCTCTTTTGCAAGGGAGGCCTGGACCTGAAGACATGTTTTTGGTCTGTGGGAGGAAACCGGAGTACCCGGAGAAAACCCATGCAAGCACGAGAAGAACATGCAAACTCCACACAGAAAGACCCCAAGTCCTACTGGGGATTGAACCCAGGACCTTCTTGCTGTGAGGCAACAGTGCTAACCACTGAACCGTCGTGCTACCAATAAAACATCCCTGATGTATCCATACATTTCTATGCTGATGACACAGTTGTTTATTGTTGAGCTAAAACAGTTGCTAAGGCTTTCCAGCTTTTGTAATCTGCATTCAACATCATCCAGACTGATTTGTTTCACCTCAAACTTGTCCTAAACACCAACAAAACCAAAGGGATGTTTTTTTTCAAACAGGAAGTCGGTCCCAGCAGTTCTTCCTCTGATTTTATCCTCAAATGGTGTCCCTATTGAGTTTGTTGATTCCTATAAATATTTGTGTATCTTGGTCGACTCACATCTTTCTTTTAAGCTCCATGTGGAAAACTTGTTAAAGAAACTGGAAGTTAAACTGGGTTTCTTTTTCAGAAACAGATCCTGTCTAACCCTGAATGTTAGGAAACACCTTGTATCTGTGACTTTCCTTCCCTCCATTGATCACGGTGACATTATTTACATGAACGCTCCTACAAGAACCCTGCAGATGTTGGATGCTGCAGATGTTGGATGCTGCAGATGTTGGATGCTGTCTTTCATGGTGCACTAAGATTCATAACTGGCTGTGATTATCGTACCCACACGAGGCTCGGTGAGACTAACGTGTATGAATAAAGGTTGAATGACAAAGATTCTCTGCTTCCTGTCTGCAGAGGACCTTTGGATGATGGGCTCGGACATGGAGGGGCCGAGGGCTGGGGTTGTTCTTTCAAACTAACTTGTCCTGTTCAGGAAGTTGGAGCGTTTCAGATGGACGAGAGCACTGAGAAGAGTGTGATCTTGTATGTGCAGTAATGTTCTGTGAATGCTGGACTGCACTCCGAAGCTTTGGAAATGAATCTGATGAACTACACCTTGGTCTGTTTGGAAATCTCCTTTTTTCCATGACACCAACAAACTGGTCAGACCCCCACACCACTAGGCTAAGCAGCAACATTCTGGCTTTTTTATTTCTCAAAGCTACTAATAAAAAAGAAGCCTGTCTGATCTGTCTGAAATAAAGTCCTCAGAACATTTTCTAAAATAAAGTCTACTGAAGTTCAGTTTGATGTATTTGTGTGTAAAGCAGTACTTTCCTTGCTCTCTGCTCACACTATTGTTGGTGCACGTGAAGCCGAGTGTTCTTTGTTCTCATGGTGTTTCCTGCGTGTCTGACAGCGAAGGAGTGCGGTGGAGTCCTGACTGAGCAGCAGCGGATCATTCAGTCTCCGGGTTTTCCTGACGAGTATCAGGACGAGCAGATCTGCTACTGGCACATCCGGGTGCGTCTGGGTCAGAGGATTCACCTCCACTTCCTGGAGTTCGATGTGGAGGACGACACGTCGTGTCTCTCAGATTACCTGGAGGTGTATGACAGCTACGACGACGTGTCAGGATTTAGAGGGAGGTGAGGACCGCAACACTACAGCACAGAAGTCTTGAGTCACCTCAAAGAGGGTACATGATGTCTCCAGGGTTCTGGGCCTGCCTCGGATGAGTCCAGGTGCCATCCTGGACCACGTCAGCTGACGATGAGTAATGAATGATGATGTAATGAAATACCACAAAGAGATGTTTTATAAAAAAGACAAGAGTTCAGCAGTCTGATGACTTGGAGGAATAAGATCTCACAGACCCTGGTGGTCCTGCTGTGGAACCTCTTCCCAGAGGCCAGCAGGGAGAGCAGACCATAGTCGGGGTGAGACGGGTCATTGTCTCTGGCTCAGGACAGGCAGCAGTTGGGTGAGATGTCCTGGATGGAGGGCAGAGAAGTTCCACTGTTCTTCTCTGGTGTCCTCGTTAGTGTCCTCATGTTTTGTCCAGCCTCGTCCCCTCGCAGAGAAGCAGCTGGTCAGAATGCTCTTCATGGTGCTTCTGCCGAATGTAGTGAGGGTGGACGGGGGACGGTGGATTCTCTTCATCCTGCGCAGGAAGGGCGTGTCTTCTTGACCAGTAAAGTGGTTTCACAGATCAGGCGAGGTTGTCTACCCTCAGGAACGTGGTGCTGCAGACCACCTCCACAGCCGTGTTGTTGGTGAGAGGTGGAGCTGGGCTGCTCTTACTACAGTTGACAACGAGCTCTGGTTTCAGGATCATGGTGGTGGTTCTGCACCAGCCCATCAGCTGATCTACCTATAGACCAAGTCGTCGCTGTCCCTGAGGTTTGTGTCATCCACAAACTTCACACTGTGGTTGGTGGAAGCTTTGGGGCCTCAGGCCACAGACCTGAGAGAACCTGTGCTGAGGATGTGGGGCAGGGTGCTGACACCTCGTGGTGGAGGGATGGTATCACTACAAGATTTATCCCAAAGGAAAGTTTTAAAGTACACGAGGTGTCAGCCTCATCTGGTTCCACAAGAGAGGAGCCTGAGAACTGAAAGATCTTCCTCACATTCTGCTGCTGGAAACTCTAGGAACCACAAGTAAACCTGCAGTCTGAGAGTGAAGTGCTCTGTTAGGAAAATATGGAACAATAAGATCTGTAATATAAGATGGAGCTAGGTTGTTGAGAGCTTTGTAGGTTAGAAGTAAGATTTTGAATTTTATTCTGGATTTGACAGGGAGCCAATGGAGAGAAGCTAAAACTGGAGAGATATGAACTCTCCCAGTAACTCCAATTAAGACTCTGGCAGCAGCATTTTGGATCAACTGAAGACGTTTTAAAGAATGTTTGTTGTTTGTTTGTTTGTTTGTTTGAGAGCTGGGCCCAACAGTGCAGACAAGCTGCAGAGAAGCTTAAATCAGCAACTAAAAGACTTATTTAAGAAACAAAACAAAAAGCCGACGCAGCAGCAACAACTTACTAAATACCTTGAGGAGACTCCGGAGGAGAACTGGACATGGAGCGAGCACACACGATGCTCGACTGAAGAGTGAGAGCAGAGGGACTGACTGCAGCTGAGACTGATGTGAATGGAGAACAGGTGTAGGTGGGTGTGATGGGATTGAGGAGCAGCAGATGACTGGAAAAGTACTGGGAAAATAAACTGGTGGTACCTGAAAACCCAGAAGAACAGAACAAAACACGGTTTAGGCAGTTTGAGAACTGGTTGGCTCTCTAAATGTATTTACTGTATGTGTTTATGTATTCATCTTATTTATCTGTCTGCAGGTTATGTGGTGACTATTTACCAGAAGACATCATCAGCACCGGTAAGATGTCCTGCTTTTATCATGACAAGATGTTAGATTCCCCTTTTTATCTGGCACGGTGGTGCAGCGTTTAGAGTTGTCGTCCATCCACTGTGCATCGACGCTGCGTGAAAACACACGTAAAGGAAAAGGACGAATGGTTGGTTACTCGTTTTCACATTTAGAAAGTGAGTCTGGACTCACTCATGAATCTTACTGTTCCTCCCTCACGGTGACAAATGATGATTTATCTTTTTATTTTCTTTAAATTAGTTGTTAAAGTAAATGTGTAATAAAACTGCAGTGTAAAACATAAAGAATAACAATAGTTTAAACTAGACTAGCTCTGTTAATTCTCACTCTGGGCAGCCTTGACTTCCCATGAACAGGTGGTACGTCGATGTCCCCCGGCCGTCTCTGAGGGAATTGAACAGTGAATGTTTGTAGTTTTGGAGATGGATGTTTTTCTAGACTGGAGTCGAACAGAGAATGAAGTAAACCTTCAAGTTTCTGGTGCAAGATATTCAAGTGGGTACAAGTTAAACTGTGTAGAAGGACAGACAGAGTTTTTATTTTTGTCAGGAGCAGCGAGAGAGAGGGATCCTGGGAGGTGGAGGAGCCATTTTATCCACCCCCAGGTGCAATGGAGGAGCCAGGGCGTGGCCACTGGTGGCTTTGAGCCCACGCTTTGGCCATCTCAATCATTTTGAGGAACTATTCTTTTAAACAATCTAAAAACTAAAAGAAGTCTCCTCAAATGATACGGGTGATCGGTTTACAAATATATGGTGGTGGCCATCTTGGATTTTGACTTGGCAGTCCAGTTTTTGATGGAGACCTTTCTTGCTCCTAGATGCAGCCACACACCGAAATGGAAGTTGGTATCTCACTAACATTTGAAGTTATGCTCAGAACTTGATAGCTGCATGATGGAGATGAAGCGTGACTGTAGATCTACACGTGTTTTCAAACGTGGAACGTGACGAGAAAGTAACTTCAAGGTCACGTGAACTGAAACTTTGACAACTTGCCATATAATAAAATTCAGTCACACAAAAACCATTTGATCTGTACCAAAAATCCCTTTGGCCTCAGCTACTGAGATCAGGAGTACGTTTAACTGATGGACATCAAGCTTTGATCTGCTTCACCTTCAGATGAGAGGTTCCTTTTACGTGGCGTTATAAAACGAGACGTTTCGCTGGCGGTGCGGTGACGCCCACACGTGTTGTCCTGTCTTCACCAGATTGTCACACATATTGTTAGTCTTCCCTTCATCATTTGACACGAAACAAAGTAGGACATTTGGTGCACACAAATAACTCACAGACACCAAAAAGGTGTTATGATATAAACCTAACACGGTGTGATTCTAGAATCTGACCTTTAGGGGTGCTTAGCCCCCAGAGTTGACAATGGTTCTTGGCTTGAACAGCGCGGTTTCTATTGGCATCAGAAGTATTTGTAATTTGGGGGGGGACACACTAGTGGGGAGGTCTGAGGGTCCTTCCCTGGAAAATTTTGAATAAAGTAGAATTAGCCTGACCAACAGCTCTCCTTGTGTGAATAGAGCACACTTCCACTCCCCACCAGGTTGACAACTGCCGGTACTAACGTAGCGCTAAGCTAGCTGCTCGCAATACAGAGATGCTAGCTAAGATGCTCCAGACAGCGCTCTGCTTCTCTCACAACATATAGCTACATATAAAACACACAGAACAAAATTAAGCATTAACCTTTAATTTAGCCATTAATCATACAATGTAACGATGACAGAAGATTGAGGATTTACCTGCAGTTACCATCGTACAGATGAACATGTGGTACTTCCTGTTTAAAACTTGTATTCAGCTGCTCATGACATCGGCCACCAGCTTTTATTATCTTTTACATTTTTCAGACTCTGTTTAGTTTTTGAAACGTTATAAACTGTATTCCACCCTCTAAATGTAACATGTCTGAATTAATGTTCTCCTCTGACAACGTTTAACCATGTTTATGAAGATTTTTCATGAAATCCCACAGACTAAAAAGTGTTCATAATACAAAACCTCGACAATGTTGTTGGAGGAAAACGGGGCTGCAGCTCCTGCAGGTGAGGGGCGTTTACCTTTGGGACAATTTGAGGTCGCTGATTGGTCAGTTACTGAATACACTACTGGGATGATTGACAGGTGACATATAGGATCTGACTCGACTAAAAAAATCATAGATTTTACTGGTCCGTTTACGAGTGTCCATCCATCCATCCATCCATTATCTTTTACCCACTTCTTCCATTTTGGGTCACGGGGGTCGCCGGTGCCCATGTCCATCAATCACTGTGCGAGGGGCGGGGGACACCCTGGACAGGTCTCCAGTCCATCACAGGGACACATAGAGACAAACAACCATTCACTCTCTCACTCACACCTAGGGACAATTTAGAGTTACCAATCAGCCTAACATGCATGTTTTTGGACTGTGGGAGGAAACCGGAGTACCCGGAGAAAACCCACGCATGCACGAAGAGAACATGCAAACTGCACCCAGAAAGGCCCCTGGACCGGGATTTGAACCAGGGACCTGCTCGCTGACAGGCAGCAGCTCTACCAGTTGTGCCACCGTGCAAGATTTTTTCAACAATTCAACGAGGTCCTGGAGAGCCTGCGTGTCCAGCTGAGACTCACGCTGTGGGGTACGTCATGGAACCGTGGGGAGTGTGGCAGATGATGTGCCTCTCAGTCCTGTCTCAGGAGGATGTTGAAGACGTTTACATACTTGGATTTATGATAGCAGGGACTCTGCTTTTTGGCATCAACGGGGCGGGGCTCTGTTTTATCCATTTTTGAAGACGACATCGGCAGCAGTTTCGACCATGGCAAAGCTTCTGAGTCAGTGTGAAGGTTTGGTCCTTGCTGTAGGAACTCTGAATCATCTGGTTTATGAGCTAAACAGTAAGGTGGAGGCGATTTATGAGAATCACAGGCCACCTGCGGCTTCTGGGACTCGTCAGTGTGGTAGGTTCAACCTTGAGGGAGACTCATAACAAGGATCAGTGGAATGGAATCCCACAATTAGGCATTTTGGAACCAAAACGTCCAGATGGACTCAAGGCTGAAGAGAAAAATCTGTCTGCCTGAAGAAAATCAACAATCAAATCTTATCTGATTCTGACTCCCCGTTGGCCTCGGAGACGGGCCGACTATCAAATTTCTCCTGGGTCATGGGTAACCAGAGATAAAAGCTTCATCTATCCCCCCCACACCCCCACCGAGAACTTCTGTGCAGACTTATCAGAACTGTCGGCTGAAACATCTCCAGAAACTGTGGCTGATCTGAAAAAAAGCTCAAGGACAAATCTCAACACCTCGATGTCAAATGCAAATATGATCATGTTTTAATTTTGCTGCTGGAAGAGTTCTTTTGATGTCTCAAATCGTGTCCTGATAGACGAGATGTGAAAGATCTTTTTTTGTAATACCACTATCTACCCTCATGTTTCTCCCCCTTTTCCTATCTAAGATTATTATTCTGATAAGGATAAGAGAGGCCGCGCTCGTGCAGCTTCGTGCACTCCGTCCTTCTTCCAAATACGTGCGATTTCACAGGAGAGTTTAAGATCTTACCATTAGCTGCTCTGTGTAACCAGCTTTGAAAATATATGTAAACGAGGCTAATTTAATGTCTGTTCCAGGAAACGTGATGACGCTGAAGTTTCTCTCCGACGCATCGGTCACTGCCGGCGGCTTCCAGCTACAATACGTTGCTGTGAACTCAACCCTGCTCAGACAGAACTCCAGCCACGACTCACAATGATCGTTCAGTCCACTCGTTTGATGTCTACAATGATCGACTCGTTACAGAGCAACTCTACAAATCAACCGAGATTAAACCACACGTTGTTCTTGTAATATGGAAAAATATGTATTCATGTATGTAATACATGTATGCATGTATTAATATGTATTCATTCATACCCATCTGCTCACACAGACTCATGTTCGGGCTGCTGTTGGATACAGCGTATTGTTTTACATTGTTAGTGTTTTAGCGTACCGTCTGGTGTTCGTTTAGCGTATATCTTAGCGTATATCTTAGCGTATATCTTAGCGTATATCTTAGCGTATATCTTAGCGTATATCTTAGATCCTTGTCCAGTGGTGACTGGTCAATAGAGGGCGCTGCCCCACCACTCAAACTACTCATATTACCTTGAAGACTTAAAAAAATGAAATAAAAAATGAAATAAAAATGAAATAATAAAATAAAAATATTTAGAAATTTATGTACTTTATATATTTTTAGTTGTGCAAGATAAACTTTTTAAAGTTAATGATGAGTAAAGTTGTTTCTTTCAAAAACGTCTCTGATTGGTGACGTATTTCCGACCCCTGGGGGCGCAAGAATCTTAGCCCATAGATTCTCGTTAAAAGTTGTACATGCGCAGTTAGCTCCCCTTCCAATACAAGACATAGGAAGATTCTGGGCGCAGGAGTGGTGCACCCAGAATACAGGTACATGGTACGGATTGCACTTCCAGTCCCAGAACAATTTTTCCCACAATTTTGTCCCAGAACAGATCATGTAGTGACACAACCATGCTATGTGTGAGAGGCTAGGCTAGCTGCTGCAGGTAGGCTTTAATCCGTTGAAAGCCCTTTATCTCATATCTATGTTGCCATTTCTGACTGATATGCCTCTCAACTTGTAGATGTCTCTGTTTGTGGAAAAAACCTTCAGCTGACTGTTTTTGTATTGAATGTTTTTTGAACGTCAGCTGACTGTATATTCTAAAAGTGGGAACTATTGAGTTTGTTTGTTTCTGGAGCTAGCATGCTAGTGCTAGCCTCCAGGTTATTATATCGGACTCTGTGATAAATCAGTGCTATATTGCTTCATTGATTTGAATGTGCTTATAAAAAATAATTATCAAACATGAGTACTTTTCTATACTAAATGTCACTGATGGTGTTGTACTATTTCTGAACACCTGCATTTGTATTGACCTGGATAAAGAAAAATAAGCCTCTTGCAATAAGTAACTAGCTCCTAGTGTTAACACTGAAGCATTTAACTTGAAGGTACATTGAGATGATGAAATGCTATATTATGTGCTAAGATGCAATGTTAGGACCGTTAATATTAGGAATATTTGAGTACTCAAACAATGAACTTGATTCTATTCATATTATGAACTTATATTACTATATAATATATTATTTTATATATATATTACTTACTCTTTTTCAGTCGTCATTTGAATAAAGTTTGTTCCTGACTAACCAATAAAAATCATGAGCGTGATTGATTTTCTGAAATAATGGACTTGAGAATAAAACAAGACAATTGTATTTGTTGGATAAAATAAGTATCCGTTCATCATCAGGGCGGCTGTGGCTCAGTGGTTAGAGCAGTCGTCCTCCAATGCAAGAGTTGGGGGTTCGAATCCACCAGCTGTTATATGCCAAAGTGTCCCTGGGCAAGACACTGAACCCCTCGTTGCCTCTGATGTGTCCCATTGGTGTATGAATGTGATGAAGCTCTGATTAGTCTCTTTAGAATGATTTGCTCAATTAGCTTTGTAGAGATCTAGTATAGAGCTGTATGAATGGGTCAATGAGGCACAGATTGTTGTAAAGAGCTTTGAGTATCTTGATCAGATAGAAAGGAGTTATATAAGTATAGTCCATTTATCATCTCTTTACTCAAATAAGCCACTCTGAGGACACAAGAAGAATTTAAAACCGGTCTTTATTTGCAAGAGTAGATGTCATGAGGAAGCTTTCACAGATGTACAAGAACTACATGCTTTGAGAAAGGTCTGTAGGCTCAATCATCCAGGCAGATAACAACTAAAAAGGTTAAGTCAAGTCATCTGGACCAGTTTCTTTAAGTGAGAAATGTTTCATCTCCCATCCGGAGGACTTCATCAGTCTGTGGCCTGCCAATCCTACCTGTCTCATGGGTAGTCTTCACTGCTGGAATCTCAGAAATAGGCTTTTGTGTTGTGAGACATATTATAATCAGATCCTTCACCCGTGACTATACCTGACCGCTTCCCTTGTTCTCCAGGGTTCCAGAGATCTTCCCCTTGAGTACACTTACTAACACTAAATAAAGACACTGTTCAACCTTGACGTCTTGAGTTTGTCTGTTCAGCGTCTCATACTGTCTGTGTTCCCTGTGACCCTGACAGTTAGCAGCTTTTGATGTGCTTAACTGTGGAGTGTACACATTTAGTTGATTTTGGTCAAGTCTTGCTGCAGTTTCTTTGTCGTTTGCAATTATTTGACCTTTGCTTCTTTGAGTTGACAGGTCCTGCTGGACTCGTCCTGCTCCTCGCTGTAAAGAGCCCAGCTGCATCACCTTTAGAGATCAGTCTAACTGGACGGCACCACGTTGCACGTCAGCAGAGGGAGACGCTAAACATTGTGTTTTCCATCAAGAAAAGGTAATACTGACACAATGTATGGTTTGATTTCTCAGAGTAGATGAACTGAAACTTAGAATAATTAGTAATTTAACTACATTTATTTACAATATTTACAAGGGTGACTTGGAAGGAAACCAGTAATTGTGAGAGCAGAACGTAGATGGTTAGGACTTTAATTAAGGCAGAGGTTAGCGGGTCCTCTTATCACAGCCACCTCTTCCAGCTCTTCTGGGAGGACCCCAATGTGTTCTCAGACCAACAGAGAGACGTAGTCTCTCCAGCGTGTCCTGGGTTTTCCCCGGGGCCTCCTCCCATTTGAACATGCCTGAACCTCCTCAACTGGCTCCTCTGGATGTGGAGGAGCAGTGGTTCTACTCTGAGTCTCTCCTGATGACTGAACTTCTCCCCCTGTCTCTAAGGGAGAGTCCAGCTACCCTGCAGAGGAAACTCATTTCAACCTCCTGGATCCACGATCTCATTCTTTCAGTCTTTACCAGAGTTCATGACCAGAGGTGAGGGGAGGAACGTAGACTGACCAGTAAACAGAGAGCTTTGTCTTACAGCTCAGCTCCTCTTCACCACATGGGACCGGCACAAAGTCTGCAATACTGCAGACGCTGCACCGATCCATCTGTCAATCTAACGCTCGACTCTTCTCTCACTCGTGAACAAAACCCCGAGACACTTGAACTCCTCCACTGGAGGCAGAACCTCACCCTCTAAATTATTTGTCTATTGTCTCATCTAATATACATTCTGTATCTATTGTATTATTATCTAATTTAATATTATCTATAGGTGTGTTATAATACCAAGGACAGGTGAGTTTATGCATTTGGCTCAGATTCCAGTAATAAAAAGTGCCACATTGAACGAATAGGATTTAACATTCTGAGCAACTTTCATCTGTTGACCTGTGGTAGTTTATGAACCCTGGAATGATCTGACCTGCTTGTTGGAGAAATGTCCTTTTTTATTCCTCTAAAATTGCATATCCTCCTTAGTTCTCAGATCATTTGAGCAAATTTGTTTATTTTTTCTTTTATAGTTTTTAGCTGCATACAATAAGATAAGTTTTAATCCAATTTGGGAACTTGTTTTTTTGTAAAATTGCCACTACGTGTGTAGCTAACTGTTGATGGAGACCGTGAATGAAAAGTGAATGAGAATAATTTCTGATATTTATTCACTGAATAAGGTCATAGTCAGTGAGAGAAATGAATTTACACAAATGGAAAACAAAAGTTGATTAGCTGACAAAGAACCAGAAGTTGGCGTGAATTCTTCTAGACCAGAATGCATTGCAACAAACTGACTTTGAGCACGTGCATCAGTAACTAAGTCCGCAGTACCAACTTAAATCAAAGAAGTTTTTAGTTTTTTAATTTGACAATAATGCTTAAATAAAAGTGTAAATTTTATCGAAAGGAAAAAGTAGCAACAAATAGAATTGTTCATAGCGCTTTAAAAAAAGTAGGCGGTCCCGGAAATGACGCAGAAGTTCAAAGGTTTCTCCGCAGGTCTATGTATTAATTTGGCGCCAGTAGATTTCGCGGGGTGCGGAGCAGAAGAGGCAGCGAGCACAAAAAGCGCAAAGTGTCTGCGACGTGTGGTTCGGTGGTGAGCGGACCGCAGTGGACAGAAGAGGACAGAGTGGACACAGAGGAGTGGACACAGGGGACAGCGGGGTGTTCCGGGTTGATGGTGGCCCGTGGGCCAGGCAGGAGTTGGACTCGTGCTCCGCAGGTAAGCTAAGGTGTTTTGTAGTGCTGGGTCGTGTTGAAGTCCCTGACCCGGGTGTCATGTGGACTTTTCCGTCGGCCAGCAGCTTCTCGGTGTTCGATTCTGTGCATTCAGCTCGGTGCTAACTAGGCTAACCGTGCTAGCTCAGTTAGCATGCAGCTGCTAGCGCCTGATGGACAAACTCCTGTTTCTGCTGAGCTTCATCCACCTGGCGCAGGTAGAATCAGACACGTGAAGAGCTTTGCATTCATGTCCCCTCGTGTTGTCCTCCTTGTAGCCGACAGGACGTCCTATTGGACAGATGTCTCCGTGTGTCTACAGAAAGTCATCACCCCCATGCTTTGTTTTGACCAAAAATCTAATTAAACCTTCACAAAGTGGAAGCGCATTTCTACAGATCAGTTCAAATGACAAAGAAGTGATCCCTGAGCAGAACATGCAGGATGGATCCCAACCTTGGACATCAAGTCCTGTCAGAGTCTGCTGGATGGACCACAGATCTGTTATCATGCAGGACCTGGTTGGATGGTAC